GTAAGCTATAATTTATTTGGAGTTTTAAAATGATGTCACAAGTTGTTTATGTAGAATTTAATGTTAATGTTCTGATCATTCAAGCCACAATATAAATAGTCTGGAATGTTAGAATTATGCGCATGATTTGTAACATTTGACTATTGCTTTTTTTTTTATGATTTATATATTAAATTGTGATTCATACTTTCTGCACTATTGTTAACTGGCTTCAAAAAAATATATTTATACATACTTTTCTTCTCAGTTTAAATTTTTTTTTGCAATGTTGCACTTATTAAAATCCTATACCTGAAATAATCTGTAAATTTAAGTCAAAACTTGTTTTTCATCTTGTGTTTTCTTCCTTTGTGTTTCTGATTTAGATGTACTTTTATCACAAGTTGTCCTAATTATTTCCTTTAATAACTTTTTTCTCAAATTAAAACTAATGAAAAAAGTCATGTTTTAATTGTTTCATCCATACCTAAGTTATAATGTCTTGATTATTTATTATGTGACTTTTTTCACGCAAATAGAACTCTTTTGTGATCCAGGACAAAAACAATAGTATTTATTTAAAAAAAAATAAGTTTTATTGTTTTTGTTGAATATTAGTTTGCTTTATTTTAATTTTATATTGAGGTATTAATAATAAAAACATTTAATACAGACTTTATGATTTCTTTTTAAATGCAAATAATTTATATGTACTTGAGTGCTTGATATCATTAAAGACTTAAATGAAAAGCCTAAACAAAAAAATAGTATAACAATAGTATTTTTAAAATTCATTCCTGAAGAATTGTTGCAGAGACTAGATAGATTAAAGTTTCTTGAACAAAAATATATAGCTACAGTGAAAAGAGACAACTTTGCTTAATTTTGAGTCACACAAAGTTGAGTTTTGGTTGATGGAAAAAAGTGATTACCACTTGCTTGAGTTGCAATTATGGTAATATTTGCAGAAAAAAGAAATAGATGCAACCTTATGACAGTGGTACTGCAGCCATATTCTCATCTCTCTGTTAAGCTTAACAGAGTGTTTATCAAAAATTTTATTACAATATCTTTATGTAAAGAAGTGAAAAAAACTTTATTTAAATTTGTTTAAATAAAACTAATACTAAAATAAAACAATTTTATTTAAAAATTTATATTTTTAAAGAATTTTTTAAATTAATGTAGTTAAATAGAACTTTTTGACAAGCGCTCCATTAAGCTTAACGGAGAGTTGAGAATATGGCCTCAGAGGATCAAGTTTGGCACCTAGAGTTAATCCAACCACACTGTTTAATTTTTGACATTGTCTAAATGAGACCTTGTTAGAAAAATCAGTCCAAAAATGTCAACATTATTTCATAGAAAAACAAACTTTGTAAAGAATGAGAAGCAAGAAAATGAAAACTTTAAATGGATTGGATAAATAGTTTTCAGAAACAGTTGTTAGTATAAGATAATCTGATAAGACATAAATTTTAATAAAATAAAACAAGCTTTCATACCGTCCCCAACATTATTATTTAAAGCTTTTGTGGACTACAGATTTTTTTGGGTGAAATAAAAATAAAAGAATAAAAAAATAATAAATAAAAAGTTGAAGCAGATTGTAGTTGAAATGTAGAATTTTTTTTGTTATAGAGATTTTTATTATAGAAATTTTGATATTAAGTTATAAATTAAGTAAACATTAAATACTGCAATTTAAAGTTAAATAAAGTTAATTACTTTTCAAATTACTTATTAACATCACATTGCAATCTATAAATAAATTTAATAACAAAATTCATTGTTGAATTAAATCCCTGAATACTACTGAAATAACAATAAAAAGAATTTGTTTATTTGTACCAAAGTTAGATCTCAATTAGAAGTTAAGATTTTAAATAGTTTAAGCTTTTAAGAAGTTTTCTTAAAAATTATATATAATAAAAATTGTACTAGATTGCTATTTCTATGTTTCTTTATTGGTTAAATAGTTGTTATATCATACTAAATTTTTGTTTGTATATTATATATTTAAATCAGGTTTGTTAACACATATAAATAATGTGAATAAATAGATAAATTATATGGCTTAAGTGGTGGCTAATAAAAATTATTATTAAAAAAAAATGTTGTTTATAATGTTTAAGCCTGTTTGGTCTTTTTGCTAAAAGCTGTTTCACTTGTTTGTTCTACTTGCTGCTACTTTGCATGTGAGGTATAGCATAAATTTTATGAGATAATTGTATTTAGTTTAGCTGTCTCTTCTCTTTTCTTTTGGAAAGAAAATAAGACAGTCTACAAATGCTCAGAGGGGCATGTTCTTCAAATTATGACCTTTTAAAAAAATGTTCTAAAGCAATTGTTGGTTATTACTTAAAAGTTAGCAAGAAAAAAATTCATTTTGTTGCCATTTAGAAAATATCAAAGATGATTATGGCAACAATTTTATAGCAGAGGTTGAGTTATAAATAAATATGACAATATTTTATAACAAGTAATCAACATTTCAAATTTATCAGTTTGATACTAAATCCTAAAATTTAAAACAAACTAATTCAATCTTCAAATAAAATTAGTGACAAGAACTTGGAATTTTGAATTTCAGGAAAAATGGCAGCTTAAAGTGAAATATTTTGATGAAACCACAAAGAATTTTAAATTTTTTTCAAGATATGTTAAAAATTGAAATAGTTTACATTGTAAAACTTTTTTAATTTAGTGGATTAACAAAGTTAATCAACTTTAATAGAAGAAGATAAAAGTGATCGTTTTCCAATTAAAGTTATTACCCTTTAATATTTTAATACTGAACTTGCTGCTGCTGCTGTCATTACTTATTTGTGCCTGTTTGCACAGAACTCATGGCAGCCATTACACCCGAGGTAATGGCGATAAAGAGTCAACAATTTTTTTAATAAGAAAATGTTAACAAAAGTGTATGCAAACAGGGTTGCAAAAAAAACGGTTTTTTTGAAAAAAACCAAAAACCATAGGTTTTTAAACCATGGTTTTTTTGGTTTAAATTAGGTTTTTACTAAAAAATGCGGTATTTAGTTATCCTTTTAAATTAAAAAAAGCATAATGTATTTTATTTGAGTAAACTATATTCTTTATCAATATTATTGTTATATTTCATCAAAATTATTCAATATATCATTGTTTAATGTTCTATATATAAATACAAGCTTTGCTGCTTTTTCTACCCCCAATTGGTTTCTTAACTTAGAATGAACAAGACCAAAAGTTGAAAAAAATCTTTCGATTCCAGCACTAGATGCTGGTGCATTTAATAAACCTTCAATATCCATCATGTTATTGTAGATTTGGCTTTTAATTTGAATAATATTGGTAACAAATTAAAATAGAGCTACTGCAATTAGTTTCAATATTTTCAATGAATCTTCTGTGTTTCGCTTTATCTGTATATCACTTACTTTTTTACCAATCATGGGATCCAAGTCTTTATTTTTTTCAAACATTGTGAAAATAATGCTTCAGTTGTTGACATATTTTTCAAGTGAATTACATACAGAATTCCAGCGAGTTTCAGTACGAAGTGGCAAGTTTGTTCCTCAGCTTAATTTATAAATCCAGTCTTATAAATCCGCCTAATTTATAACTCCAGCTTGATGATTATTTCTTATATATTTTATTATTTGTGTAACATGCTTGCTCACATTTTCAATCTTAAGATCATTTGCTAAAAGATTCAGCATATGAGCAACACACCCATAAGTTATGATAATATCTCTTTCAGATGACAATACTTGTCTCATTGATTTCATATTAGCTGCAATGTCAGTCACAAAGCTTTTTACTGTGCATCTAAATTTACGTCTTTCAAAATCTATTGCTTCTCTTGCTAATTGTTTAAGATATTCACCAGTATGTGAATGACCAGAAGTGTTGATTGTTTCTAAATGTTAATTTTATTTGTAATACAAACTATAGGTTCATTATGTACATTACTCCAGCCATCTAAAGACATGGCTACAATTTTCCCATTCAATACATTACATTTCTTCTGTGTAAACTCTATCTAATATTTCTCCTCCAATTTGAGTTCTATTAGGTAGAATGTATCCTGGATGAAGCATATTGATAAATTTAAAAAAAAAAACAAAAAAAAATAATGGATTTAAAAAAATATATCTATATTGAAGATTATTTATATTTGTGAACATAATCTTAGTTTCCTGTTGTAATTTCAAATCTTTTTAAAAAAACATTAGTTTGGTTTAAACCAACATTTTTTTACTTGGTTTAAACCATGGTTTAAACCAATGGTTTAAACCATTTAGTTAAAACCATGTAACCCTGTATGCAAACTTATGTAATTTTCTATTTATGTAATGTTAAAACTTATATCAAGTTTTACAGTTTTACTTTTATTTGAAAATTGCGTTGTGACAACATCTCTTTATTTTTGATTCATAGCATTTATTTGTCCTTTTATAATGTCTTTTGTTTATTAAATAGTGTTAAAACATTTATCTAACAATATACCTAATTGATTCAAGTGGTTAGCTTGCAGTGTTTCTGAAGTAAATTGCTTTGGTTCAAATTCTTGGGCTTGGATATTTTTTTAAAAATCTTTTTTGATTTTTTAAAATACAAAATAAAACATTTTTGAAGTACTTTAGATATTATATGCATAACATATATAAGGATATTATATACTATAACACACGAAAAGGAAAGAATTTTTAAAAAAGCCTAAAATTTCTAAAAACATTGATATAAATTTGTTGCTCATATGTCATTATAGAGACACTTATGTTATTAATGTGCTCAGGTAATTAGTCATAATTAGCTGGAAATAGACTAAAAAAAAATTATGATCTGAATCATAATAAAGAAAAAATTTAATAAGCTTGTCCTGCTACTCCAGAAGGGAGGCAAAAACAAAATTTGTCTGTAGCTAGCAAAAAAATTTATTTTAATAATTAAAAATCTTTTTTGCTATATTTTATTTTTTACTATAGATATATATGGGAAAATTTTTAAAAGTTTAAAATTTAATACTCTAAGGG